CCATTCTTTGGTATATCAAGCCAGTTACACCAATTCAGCAGAGCTCAGGCTGCCTTTGCTGCTACACAGTGTTTATACAGCAGCACATCCCCATATTACCAAGGAGGTGAAGGCCTGTGGTTCAGCCCACTGTGAAGGGGCCCTCAAAGCACCCCGAGCTCCGTGCCCCAGCACAGTGATCAGAGCAGGGGTGCCCAGCTAAGAGCATCCTCATCTCACCAGCGCTCCACGTCCACCAGCACTTGCTGCCACCATCCACAGCAGCCAAACCTTCCACCACAACCAACACCCCCACTTGGGAGACCTCCCTCATGAGCCATTTTATACCAGGGAGCTTCTGCACAGCTGAAGGCTATGGGCAACCACCTCCCAGGAAATTCCTCAATTAGCTTCTTGTGCTCAGAGGAGTGAATGCCAAAAATGCCTGCTGGCATCTCAGCCACCTACAACATCTTCTAGAATGGCTATAGATATCACTGGGTGATCCAGAAATAGTAGAACAGTATGTTCAGGTTTAGCAAGGGAGATTCACAAGAAGCTCTAGGCCCTAAATTCACTAGATTTTATTATTATTTTGCATCCAGATAATCAGCTTATGATAGTTTGATGCAGCAGACAATTATTGGGCCTCCATTTGGCTGGCTGCATCAAGCGATGGGCACAATTTTTTACCGTGTCTCAGTAATTATTGATAGGACAATTGTCCCGGATTGCAGCGTTAATATCAGTGCATTAGCAACTGAAACAGTTTGTTACACACTTCCTGTCAGGTATACTGCAGTGCTGTAAAAGCTGCCTCTACTTATCATAGTTAACGATTACTGTAGGAAACAAAATATACAACTTAAAAATTATCTCTTCCTCTAGCCCCTGACTGTTTTCTGCAGTTTATTTACTCCTTTTGCACTAAACCATATTGCAGATACTGAATCACAGAATCACAAAATCGTTATGGTTGGAAAAGACTTTCAAGATCATCGAGTCCAACCGAAGACTCTTTTTCAGTTCACAACAATTTACAAAACAGTTTTATCCATTTCAGTTTTAAATCAAAGGACAGCATTTCATATTCATAACTAAAAGAGAAGATATTTCTACTTGTCTGCCTATGCAGCACTGCGCTGAAAGGTATCTTGTAAGTGCTATTACTCCCTACTGACAACTCAAATATAAATATAAAGAAGTAATACCAAAAGTCAGTTCATAAAAACAGAGACAGATGTATTTAAATAACATGTTGCCATGTTACGTGATCATTTATGAGAATGAGCTCTCATTCTCCCGCTGCTGACTCACAGCTGAAGTCATAGGACAACTGTGACGTGTTAATCACAACACCTCTAACCTGTGGGTTTTTTTTTTTTTAACATTCACAAACAGTGGTCCAGGACTGGAAGAAGTTAGCCAGAGCTGAATACTTCGACATACTTAAAAATCAACTGAGGAACCTAACGAAACACTGAAGTTTTGGTGCAGTTCTGAGTGTGCGTTTGGACTGGGCAACAGCCAGAGGCCTTTTCTAGCCCAAGTCATTGCATGGTTCTGTAATGGTAACTGGCCAAAGTAGGCTCTTAAACTTTTCACGCACAATCCTATATTTCATGGGAGCAAAATGAACGCAGAACATGTTAGGCTGCAGAGCATCTTGCTGTGGAATCAGGCTTGGAGAATTAAAACAAAAATATAGTGCTAAAATGCCCTTCAAGGCTGGCAGCAATAGAGATTGTGTGATACCATGAAACACCAAAAGGTTCAGAGGCATTAGTGCCACTAGTTATACATCAACATATATTGCAAAGATTATTTAACATCTCTTCAGATTAGGATGTTGTCCAGAATCAAATTAAAATTTATGATTGCAATTTTGAATAATTTATGGATATCGTGTTAGGGTGCTTCCGAGTTTCAATTCAGTGGAATGAATATATACATCTAGATCAAATACATAATATATAGATATAGAATTAATTGCGTATAGAAAGGAAGACAAGGAAAAGAGCTAGATGAAAAGGAAAAGAGTGTTCAAGTTCTACTGAACATAGATGCTTATGTGTGAGGTAAGGAGAAAGTTTTACAAAAAATAGGCCAGAAAAAGAATAACTTTTTTTTTTTCACAAAGTGTATCACAATTCATTCAATTCCATAGGTACGCTTTTACACTGTACTTTGTAAGAACCAAAATCTTGACCAAGGATCAGGATCCTTGGTGGCTGGGAGACGCTCCTGCCCCATCAGCGTCCTGGCACAGGAGATGGAGCTAATTGTAGAATATTTCACTGATGTAACGTCAGGATGTAAGGTCAGGCTCATTAGCTGCTGCAACTGGCACCTCACAGTGACCCGACCTCTGGTCTCCATCTACTTCTTGCAGACTTTCTGCATAACTTCTCCAAGAGAGACCAATTCCTGTCCCAGCAGCTTCAAAAGTCTTTGACCACGTTCTTATGTCTTGCCTTGTCATTATTGTAATATCTTTTCCTCTTCTCTTGGCAGTACAAGAGTCTCCATGGTATCCATGCAGGACATGGCTGCAGAGACCATTTTTCTTCACCATTTTTCTTTAGGGTCCCTCGATCATTTTTTTTCCCCCCCTGACAGCCAGTACTGCCAGTCTCCGTCTTTTCACTGCTCTGTTTTCCAAGATGGATTTTGATACCTGCTGTGCTGCCCTTCCTTCACGTTTTGCTCTGCACAGCGCAGCCTCTGCTAGGCTGACATCCCTGCTTAAAGCATATTCTCCTTACAGGTTATGCTAGCACAAAACTGATAAGGGTTACGTGCTGTGATATGGGGACTTCCACAGAGGATGCTAGTGAATATTGGCTCACCATGGGCTTGCACTCCTGCCTCTGATTATAGCCAGCATTTTGCACTTAGACTATAATATTATCTGTGCTGGAGACCCTTCAGCTTGTACTGTATTTATACAGTCATGAGCAAAATGAAGTTCTGCTTCATGATAGGGTTTCTAGGAGCTATAATAATAAATAAATAACACACAGTTATTCGTGTGCTTAAGGAGAAGGTTGGATTTGATGGGAAATTAGATGACATGCATAATTGCATACTATCACCAAATGCAGAAAGAATTAGATTGGTTTGCTGATGCTCTGCCAAGATGAACCCATACAATAATAATCACATCCTCTCCAGTCACTGGAAAAGATATGGTTATTTGCAACATACATTCTTATTGCTGAAAAGTAGCTTTCAAAAGGAATCACAATATTAGCAGTTATTATGCAGTCATGTAAAATGCCTACTTAAACAGGAATTCAGTTTTACTTCCAGTTTAAAAATCAGCAAACTTATCACACACAACAGATATTCAAAAGCTAGAGAAGAAACATTAATGTAACCAACATGGTGCTATTCAACATGATTTTTCTATTATGTCTTTTTTTTTCTTAAAGTAGTATCGAAAAGCTAAGCACACACCTGCATGGTCCATGGCAGAGCACATTGTGCCACCTGGTGATTACAGCGAGAAATGCTCACCCAGCCCCGGCTGAACCAGGTGAAATTGCACCTATCTGTTCCTGTGCTGTTTTGAACACAGACAAGAATGTAATTGCAACAGTGGGCAGGTCTAAGGAAGGGTTTAAACCAGAGGCAAGAGGTTGCATCGCAGCACTGTGATATGTTGGGAAGGGAAAAGATACGTATGAAATTGTGTAAAGAAAGAAGAGAAGGAAGCAGGAAGCGACAAAATGAAAAAAAAAAGGTTGGAAATACAGAAAAAAGAAAGTCAAAGTTTGCTGCTGATTTAGCATTCGTACTTTGCCCTTTGGCATTGTGCATTTGGTAAATATTGCAAGACAGCCCCAGCACTGCACTTTCTGAGAACCAGCACGTTCCCCATTGTTTCATGTTGTGACTAAAATTTGTGTTTCAAATGTGAACAGGGAAACTTTACAGAACAACAACAACAAAAGGGAGACGGGAGCAGCAAGAGCTTGACATAACCCAGCATCTCGCCCGAGCTTCGCCTGCCCCTCACTCCCCCTCGAGGCTGTGAGTCAGCAGGGAAGGAGGATACTTAGATTAGAAACACCAAACTGTGGCACAATGATTGCACAAATGTTATTTTGGTGGCACTTGAGATGCTCCTGCAGTTAAACTCCACTAAGTGAGGAGAATCGCAGTGCTGGGAAGCTTTGCTGGTGGGCACGTGTGTAGCTGTGGCTTGATGGCCCTGAATCCCAGAGTTAAAACAGGTGCCAGTGATAAAAGTGATGTAAAGTTTGAACCTTTATCACAAATATGGACAATCAAGAGCCATTATTTCATTTTCCCTACTGGTGTTATGAGCTGTCTCTAGTACTTTTAGGTATCTTTTATTAGCAAGATGCTTACTGATGACTAAATCAGACAGAATAAGCCCATGAACCCTAAAGTTTCAGGCCAGATCATCATCTAGGGTAAATTGGAGCAACACCATTATTAGCACCAGAGGAATAAAGCAGCACCAATGTCATTCCATCACTCATCATTTTGCATCAAAAAATTTTGTGATAACTCTTGGGCCTGTTTGCTATGTGGGAATGATGAAGTGCAAGTGGTAAATAAAAGCTTCTCAGTGAAAGCTCCAACATTCGATCCACTCTCTTTTTCCAAACATGTGCATCCTCTAAAAAAAGGGGAGAAAATGGTTGTGGTTTTTTTTTTTTTTTTTTTTTAAGAAACAACAGTCCCAACAGGAGATGCTCTGCAGAAACAACCTCTGAGGAGACATTTCCAGCAAAGATGCTGTTTGAATTCCTGCATTATGGACGAATGGAACATGTGACGATTATTTCACCCTTCATTAGAAGCAGCACAAGGAACCTTTTATCTTTTGTTTACTGGGATCAGAATAAATACAAAGAGTTAATGTGTAACTGCCCTTTTGTGGATGCCTTTATTTTTAAGAGAGGAACCACTGGACTGAGGGTCATTTGGGAAGCCTGTGGTCCTGCAGCAATGTATTCCCCAGCCCTGGCCGTGTGCCTGCTTGCTCTGACTCACTGCGCTCTTGCAGGAAAAGGTAAGCAGCTTTGCCTTTCCAACAGGAAAAAGCATCCCGAAGGATGGACGAGGCAATCTGGAGAACGAAGCAGTGCTTTGAAGCCTTTAGACAGTTCTGGACAAAAATTCTGCAGTTTCTGCTCGTCTTCCTCCTCCTCCTCCTACACACAGAGGGCTCTCTGCAGCACTTCTTGTACCCTCTCCCTCTAGGCTGTCCCATTGTCCCTCCGGCCCCATCGCAGGAGCTCGGTGTCCCCGCAGCCGTGGTGGGGACGTCGCTTGTTCTCCTCGCCGGGGGCACCGCGCTCCCTCCGCTCCTCCTTGCCCTGCTGCTTTTCTCTCTCTTGCTGACGAGGTTTTCATGCTGTCAGCATTGCACAAGTGTTTTGGAACCAGAGCGTTTGTTCCACTCAACGGAAAAGCTGGGGTGAAGGAGAAAGGATAAGCTTGGAAATAGAAAAAAAAAAAAAAGGTATTTTAAAAGGTATTTTATGAAATAAGAAAAAATGAAAATCTCATTTCAGATGAGATTTCAGATATCTCCAACATACTAATTTGTACTGAATTGAGATGCTTTCACTTTTGAGTCCCCCATTCCATCTTTTTCCTAAAATCATTTGCCATCGTTGACTCACTTGGAAGAATACCTCTGTAAATCCTTTTTAGAGCGAATGTATCTTTCAATTAAAAATAAAAAGGGGCACAATATCTAACTGGGACCGTTGACAGAGCTGCCACAAAGGAGAGAAAGAAAGCAGTTTTTGCTGGCTAAGGCTTTTTGCAGCCATCACTGGCTATAGATGACAGAAGGACAATTGAATTCAGGATGCCTGTGCTTCCTTTCCAGAAATAGCAACAGCAACCACGCTTTTTGCCCATTTTTCTTCTGAAGTGCCTCCTTTCTCGCAGTGTGTTCCAAGCCCCCTGAGGTGATGTTTGCGACCATCGACGTGGAGAAGAGCGTGTACGAGGTGGGCGAGCAGGTCCAGTACACCTGCAGGCCCGGCTTCGTCCCCAACAACGGCCAAACCAAGTACAGCTGCCTGCCCACCGGCCGCTGGCCCCTCAACACCCTGCTCTGCCTGCGTAAGTGAAAGCAAGGACGAGGAAGGAAAGCAAAGGAAAGGCTTCGTGTCGTCTCGCTCATGTACCCTGCGTTGGTCTATACAGTGTATAGTGATGAATCCGGGATTGTATATGATATACTTCTGTTCTCTGGGTGCTTTTTGCCTGTATTTAGGAGTTTTCTATCTAAAAGTCACTTTATTCCCTGGGAAGCCACTGCCTCCCAACAAGGGGCTGGCTGCTGTGCTGGGGTTGGGGGCTTCACTTTTTCTGCTTTTGTTACTACGTCTGTGACTCAAAATAGGTGAGAAGATTAGTGTTCTCTATTCAATAAAGCTGTCAGAAGCTGGGAACGGGCAAGCACAGGGACTAGCAGCAGGGGAAGGAGCACTCCGTTCATGTCCCACGTCCTCCTCCAGCCTCTGCGCCTGGTGGAGGTCGGACCCAGGCCGGATAAACCCAGCAGTGCTGCTGTTCTGCTATCTCTAGCTGGTAACACAGGCCCTTATTCTATCAGACATGGCTCATTTTTGCCATGTCATTGCACAGAAGTTATTTGCCTCAGACAATCAATCGCTAAAAATGAATTAATCATCAAGACTTTGAAGCTACCTTCAATATATTTTGATAGAAATATAAAATAGCTGGACTTTGGAAATCTAGGCTGGAGGAGTGGAGAACCTTGAAGGAATATGACAAAACTCTTTCCATTATCCTAGCTTCATGTCTCATGAAATAATGTTATCTTTTGTTATCTTTAATTGACAGCAAAAAGATGTCCCACTCCTGGGCCCTTGCAGAATGGAAAAATTGATTTTACAGACTTCCACTATCAGAGTTCTATAAGTTTTTCCTGTGATCCAGGGTAAGCAGTCCCTTCCCCATGCTGTTAAATAAATAACCTAAATCTCATTATTATAACCTGGGATCACCAGCCAGCGAACATAGTCAGAGTCAGAGAACATAGAAACCAGCATATTAAAATCCACTTCTACCTCAGACATTAAAAAATGACTTATCTTGTGATTCTTTTCTACCCTGTGCAGACTTCACTGTAGCTTACTGGGTTTTGCTGCTCCAAACCAATGTCTTACAGATATGGAATCCATCAAAATAGCAGAGATTTTGTGCAAAGATTTATTCTGGACCACTTTCCTCTGCTTTTTAAATCCTCTTATTACATCATGAGATGAAATCCTCCAGCAGAGAGAGGATAATCTCCATCTAAGTTATGCTGCGAGGCTCTAGAGGCTGAAAATTTTGCTTCTAAGTCTTTCTAAGCTCAGTAAATGAAAACAGGTTAATCCCAATTTGGTCCCTGGAGCAAATACACTTCTACTCAGGGCTGTTTGCTAGATTTAGAAATGAGAATGCATTTAAAGAAATGCAGTAAATGCAGGGAGATACCTGACAGTTCTACAAGCGGTGGGACAGAGGAGGTATTTTGTTCAGTGATTCTCAGTTTTGGAATGCTGTATAGTAGCCATTAATACTCGAAAAGATCCAGCAAAGGAAGTAAGACAAATTCCCGTTATGTCTGCTGATAAGACACAGTAATCTTTCATGCAGAAAACAGCTTGATTTTTCCCCATGTAAAAGCTTTCTGCTAACCAGGTCTTTCTGTTTTCAGTTACAATCTTGTTGGGACGAGAACGAGTCAGTGCACGGCGGAGGGAAAGTGGACTGGAGCCCTGCCCCAGTGTCTACGTACGTGTTTGAACGCTAGAGAACCACACTAGCTCTGTTCCTTATTGCAGCACACTCCTTTTCATGCTCAGAAAGACATTTATTCAAGGGTCCTCCTATAGTGTGGTGCAAAGAAAAGGTTAGGAAAAGTGAGGAAGCAGTTTACGTGTTCAGTTTTAGATGTATGGATTGTTTCCAGAGAAATACAGTTTAAAGGTCTGTGCAACAGGCCAGGATCGGGGATGCTGCTTAAGGCTGCGGCTCAGATGCTTACCCATGCAGCTTCATCTTCCCTGTATGTAAATAGAGAATACTGACATGCCTTAGCAATTTTGATGTATGTTTTTGCTACAAGTTGCCCTGCATAGAGCCTTTATTTAAAAAGCAGTATTTTGTTTCATACATTGTCTGAAAAACATTGCAAAAAATCATGAATTTCTGAGACTTTTTAAAAGTTTTTTTTTTTTTTTTAAATCTTGGTAGCTACAGTTATGTATGGTACTGCACAGGTTAACCTAGTTATAAACATGTTGCTGTATGTGATATCCCATCAGAAAAGAGTAACAATTCACCCTTGAAGATGTGATTTCTAAGAATTCTTTGCTTTTCTAGCTGTGACCTGTGCACCTCCCGTGCTTCCTGAATTGGGAGTCCTTTCATACAAGACACCCAGGAAAGTTTTCAGTTTCATGGACACAATTACTTTTGAATGTGTACCACCTCTGGCAGTTATTGGAAATGAAACAGCTACCTGCCTGGCCAATGGAAACTGGAGTGGCATTCCGGAATGCAAAAGTAAGTGACTTATTCCATCAACATTTACATTTTCCCTAGAATTGTATATATGAAATCATATGAACAATATTACTAAAGAAGATTGACACAAATATCAAATTATTATTGCAAACATACAGGAGAATTATTCTGAAAGTCAGAATCAGGAATGAAAGGTGACTGCTAACAATGTCTGCATGATTGCATGCAACATGGGGGTGACAAAATATTTGTTGCAGGGATAAAGGTTATACAAACAAGACCAGTTAAACTTAATTCACAATGTGGAACCAGAACCTGACCTCTTCAGTATATTGAACATCTTACTCCACTGTTATGATCAACTTAAGAATTAACCCAAATCCAGAGAATTTCACTAGCTTCACTGAACTTATGTCACATTTAAATAATTTTTGTCTGAGCACATATTGCAATTCAAAATATGTAATACTTATTTATGCTTTTCTTTTTCTTTTTTTTTTAAAAAAATGTTTCCTCTGGCTATGTTTTGCTGTGCAGTAGGCTGCAATAAACAAGAATGGAAATTTTATGTGTTTTTCAAAATATATCTGTCTTTTAAAACTGCAAAATTGATAAAGTTTTGTTTTTGTACCACAGCTGTCACATGTCCCGCACCAACAGGAATAGAAAATGGATTCCTAAATTTTGCTGTTCGCAGAATATATTATTATAATGAAACTGTCAGCTTCAGCTGCCAATCCAGCTACGTGCTGGATGGACCTAAGTCATCCCGATGTGAAAAGACAGGAAACTGGTCCATAAAGCCAACTTGTAAAGGTATCCACATAACATTTGTTAAAAGCTATGTATCAAAATGACTTTTCCTAGAACTCTGACTCGATCATTGTTGATGAGCTGTCACACCTTTGCAGAAGAGTTGACCACCTCAATAGGCAACTGAGAGCTTAAACATTGTAAACTCAAGGGCTCTGGTAACCTAAAAAGACTCCCAACACCAAACACTGTATACATGATATATCTGAACTGTCTTCACTAATCAGCCATCTAATTTTATTATGTCTGAATATTTCCTCTCTGCTCCATTATTAACTTAATTATTTAATATAATTATAAATTTTACTGAGGTTGGATCTGCACCAGAAGCTTTTGATACTGCACCAATATTACTTAGGCATGTGAATTGCTTCAATACTTTCATACAAGCAGGAGTACTAGGCATAAACAATGATAAGGCACTGCAAAAATGTTTTGGTCTGTAGAGCTTATTTTGTCTGAGAATCAGATATAATCTGTATCAACATGTGTGTCTGTTGCTTTGCTAAAATAACTAAGTTCACAAGTTGCTTAAGTGCTACTATAGTTAAAACTCTGTATACTAAAAGCTCATTTACAGAATATATGTGAGATGCATCATTTTTCAAATGTCACTTGTGCAGGTTTCTGACAGGATGTAGTTTGCAAAATGGAGCTCTCATTACCCAGAGGTGTTGCTTATACCTGCATTGCTTTCCAGGACCATGCAAGATACCAGCTAAGAAAGCCGTAGTATTATACAACGGTGAGAAGAAGAGAGTGCAGAACGACCTAAAGGAAGGGATACAGCATGGGGAAAGCGTTTCCTTCTTCTGCAAGAATAAAGAAAAATCCTGTGCCTACACCGTCGCTGCTGAGTGCGTGAACGGCAACCTCACCCTCCCTGCTTGTTTCAAAGGTACTAACGAGGTTACGGCCACCTGTGTGGGGCAATGCCATAACTCAACCTCAACACATATTTGGCTGGGTAATGAGCCTATTTTGCACTGAAGTTGTTGGGATTTAAGAATAAACAGCCTGAGGATATGGAGAGAATACACAGTAATCCTTTTCCCTAAAACGTGAGAGCCCTCCCTGCACTTATCCTGTTCTGTTCTTAGGCACTGTTACTTAGAGGTGGGATATCCCAAACAAAAAGCCATGTGTGAAGTGTTCAGGACTTCATCAGTCCTTGGGTCAGCTTCTTCTAGGAGGAAAAATGAAGAAGTTTGCAGTTTGGAGAAGCAGGCGTGCTGTGGTTGCTTTCTGCTGACATCTTCCCATGACGTACTGACTGGCAACAAACTGGTCTTGGCTTTTGGGCAAGAGCGTCAAAAAGCAACAGACAGATTTAGTGAGGGCTGGTTGCTGAAAGCAGTGGTCTGCAGGCACCCAGGCTGCTAAATAGGAATACCTTTAATAAGTTAATAAGTATTTATGTTAAAAAATAATAGAATACATGCAGAAGTTTGTTTGCAAGAGGAAACGCTTCACATTTGTTTTATCAAGTTTCCTTGCATAGAATGTTTCTTTTTGAATTTTACTTTCATTTGTATATGAAGGAAAAAAACATAGACTATCCATGATGAAAGCATCCTCTTTCATATTTTGTTTGGCACCTGGTGAATTTGGCCTTCATTAAAGTAAAAACTAAAATAATATGTTTCTTATGGCTCTTTAGAAATGGTGTGAACGTTCACTTGTTCCATGGCATGGTCCACGTGATGCGTTGTCTTCAGTTGCCATACATTTCAAAATGTTAACTCAAGTTTTTAACTTGTTTTCAATAGAACGTGGATTCTTTTCATCCCTTGTGAAGAAGGACCCATCAGACATGAAACCGTGTGAAGACTGAAGATGAAATTAAAAAGTAATACAGTACCAAATGTTTGCTTTCCCAAGACAAAACATTACCTATGCAGAATGATTTCTTTTGGCCTGTGACTATAAATTCATGCAGATTTGGGAATCTCTGAGGACACAGTCTCAGCTGATTCCCCTACGACAAGCTACAACAAATTATTTCAGCTACTAACTTTCCTTTTCTCTGCCAAAACACTTGCAGTCCTACTTCTCTTTCCATATTTCCCAGAATTATATAATTGTAAATGATTGCCTCAGTAGCAAGCCCTTTACAATAAAGATTTTTTCGGGCAAGAATAGTGTATTATTATTTAATATCACCTAGTCATCAGTCAAATCCTTTAGCTCTGTTGATTCACATAGTGAAGCTTTCACGATTAGTAATTAGTTTGGTTCTCATTCCATTACCTCTCCCCTGGGATTAGGGAATGGGCCTTTCATTATAGACAGATACAGGACCATCCAACTATGATTTTCCAGAATTCACTTGAGTAGACTGAGACTTCCATATGAATTTAGAAGAAGCTAAGTAGTGAATCCTCATTTAATGTCAATAGCATTAAAAGATTCCTCATTGTTCTAAAATCTACAAATCACTCATGTTTTCCTGATTCCAGGTTCACATGAAATTGTCTAGACTTACTTTGTTTATACGAGTTATTTTTTAACAGTGTTTAAATATTACACAATGTACCTGATTCATTTTTAAAGAACGAGAAGTGTACACCATTGAGCAACACAATGATTTCAGGTCATTAAGTAGCTTTAAATAAAGTGTATCTTTCATGAGCTTATGATACAGGGTGACCATTGGTATGATCTGCCCTGACAATTTTGATGGTTATTTCTGGTTTTCCATTCAGAAAAAGAAAGTAATTTCAGTATACTAGAAAGTGATAACAAAATGCTTCTGGCACATATATAATGAATTGTGACGAGTCACATACAATTTCCTTTGAAGTTTAAAAGCCTTATCTGTGATTAAAAGCAGAACTATACTACACTGTAGGCAAACTAATCCAGAACTTTTAAAAAGGCTCATTTAACTTTAATACTGAGATAAAACTAGACTTGGAGATGTTACAGCCATCATTAAAAATCTGTGAACATACAAGCTCTATTAGCTTTTGTTTTTCAGTGTTGCACATTAATATTTTAGCAGTATTGCGGAAATCACTTCTTCTCATACTTCTTATTTTTAAGGAAATATTGAGGCAGCTATTAGGATGCATTTAATATTTGCACTTAGCAGCAGTATAATTTTCTAACGTACAGACGGACAAAGAAATTTACACTAGCAACCATAGAGGAATTTATGTTAGTGCAGTTTGCACCTTGTTTTGGATTCTAATGTGTCTAAGTAGGATCCTTGAATGCCTTTTGACATACAGGCCAAAATATTCAATAATCATCTTTAAAACATGCATAAAATTACCAGGCAAGAACAACTCTGTTTGGAAATACAGACTAAATGTTGTGTGGATAAATCTTTGGGATCTGGATGTTCAGCACATTAGCAGTGATACCAAATACAGTTTAATATTAACTTGCTTTTCACAGCACAACAGTAAAACTGTTCTAAGAAGCTGGCATTCACTGCCACACAAATGCTACTTTTACCTGAAATGATTTGCATTTTGCACAAAAATACTTGCCCCTGGGAACAATCTGATTTTTCTAAGCAATGCAAGCCAGTTTAAAGTTTTTGCAGTTCTATTTACTTATATAGTGGTATGAAAACTAATCACATCTGCTGGCCCTGCTTCCTAGCTGGATATGCAGTATTTGAATACTTGAAAGAATCACCCTTAGGAGTCAATGTCTTTATGCTGCATTTATTATCTAGTCTCCTCAAGCAAGAAGAGGGAAAAAAAATCTGTGACCTGATAAGTCTTTGAAGTAGTGAAGTGTTTGTGAATCACAACTTTTCAGACATGAAAGATTTGCTTAGAAGGTCTGAAAAATAATGTATTGCAACTAGAGGTGTTCCAAAGGCTCGTATGCGTGAGTGAAACCTGTCATTTTCTTTTAGACAACTGAAGGAACGCCTTAAGCTGTGCTTATGTTACTTGTGACAACCTGCTGAGACAGTTACAGAGATAAGAGAACATGGTAAAATGAGATGAAAAAAAAGTACTGAATGTGTTTTACTGAAATGAACACATTTTTACAATTCAAATGGGGAATTTGTTCTGTGTTCTGTTTGGGATATTCATGTATTCTACAAGTGCATATCTTGAACGATTGTCCCTGAGGGTCAGTACACATCGATACTCATCAGCCCGTCCATCCTTGGCCTGGAGACAAGACCAGAGTCATTGCTTGAACCTTTAGTTTTTCATTCTTTTTGGCCAGAAGTTAAGCAATTGTCACAGCAGTTTCAGTTGCCTGAACAGGTCCCCTTACCGTGTTGTGAGAAACTCTGCTACTTTAAAACAAATTAAAAGTGGTCAAATCTTCAAAAATACTTAAAGCAATGAGCACTTTATAATTGGAATCTAAGGATTATTAATAAGATTTGTAATCTACTCATGAAATTTGACTCCGGATAAAATACTCCATCTCAGCAGTTTCTGCACGGCTTCCATGCAAACGCTGAGGGAGGGATATGGGATTTCTGCAGGCGACCGCTGTAGCTGTCAGAGCTATCACCTGTGAGTCTCAATCCAGAACCATTTCTGCCGGATATTAGCTGCAGAATCAAAGAAAATCACCAGTTTTTGACAGTGCTTTTAAGAAACTCGTGTTTGATGTATGCGTGTGTGTGAATCAGGCTGAGACGTGGGGGAGAGTTCACGCCTGTGAGATAAAAGCGCCTTGGATGCTGCACACACGGGAGAGACCAGCGACAGGTTTGAGGGAAGAGAACTAATGAAGGCAGCTGGGGAGGCCCCAGCGGTTGCACGCGGTATCGTAACTACAACACTGGCCTGAAAAGAGATGGAAGGACTGAAAGGACCAGGAGGTTTCTCCACTTCTTTTGGGTTAACGGATTTTTTTTTTCCCAGAAAGTGTCCAAAGCAAGAAGTGGAATCTTTATATTTTTGTTTCACAGGTTGCACACACAGGTCGGAAGCTTTCCAACCCAGCACCCCCAGGGCTTCCTGCCCGAGGCAAAGCTCCCCAGCGAAACCTCAGCAATGAACAGCATCCTACTGAAAGTGAACCTGAAAACAGACCTATTCCCTATCAGGATACGCCTGACCCCATCTGGCTTAGAAACAGCCAGAAAGGGTGGCCGAAACTGGCTCTGAATTTTTGCTGCCCGCACTGGGCATTTCTGCCTGGATCTGCGGCACTTCTGTTCCCGGCTATGATGTGCTAGCCCAGTGCCGTGTCCCGCTATGAATGTGCAAGCCCGGGGCTGGCTTGAGAGCCGCACGGACCGACCGATGTTTCCCCGCTCCCAGGCCTAGGCCCGACCCCGGGGCCGCCCGCGGCGCGGCCCGTCGCTTAGCAACGCGCGCGGCGCTGCGGGCGGAAGAGGCAGCGCGCGCGGGCGCCGCCGGGGGGCGGGGGGGGGCCGG